AGCCTTGCTTGCGTCAGGCGGGAGCCTGGGGAGAGAGCCCTGGAACGTGCAGCCCGTGCTCCTATGGGCTTCCAAAAGCGACGTTAGGCATTTTGCACCGCCTTCAAACCCTCCCCCGCGGCTGCAAACCCTCCCCAGCGCCTTTGGCCTACTCCTGCACCGCAGCCTTGCCCTCTTCCTCTTCTCGGCAGCTCGCAGGCCTGCCTCTTCTCTTCTTGTCCTGTCATAACATTGCTTGTGACCAGGCCCCCGCAATGCGGGCATGTGTACTCATGCTGTTTCTTTGCTTGGGCTTTTCCGTCACTGACGTAGAACTGGCTGCCGCACACTGCTCGGTGATCCACTTGTCCATTGGCTATCGTGCTCTCCACGGTCGCCTTACAGTGCGGGCATATGTACTGGCATGTCTTGGTGCCTTGGCTAGCGAGAGTCATGCTGCCTTGGCCATCGAGACCCTCTGGCAGTTTCCCACGCTTCCTCACCGGTTCCTCCCTTGCCTGCTCTGTACGCTTGATTTCTGCTAAGACTTCCGCGATGATGCGTTCATGCTTGCGCTGCTCTACTTTGGCACGCGTGGCGGCCAGGCGGGCCACGGCTTTTGCCGCCGTGCCCCGTGGAAGCTTTGGCGGTTGGCTTTCCTGGCTTCTGAACTGGGTCTCGGGGCCCCGCACTGTAAAACATGCGTTCGCCTTTTGCGTCGTGCCTCGCGGGCGCGTTGCGTGCCCATGGGCCTGGCTCGTGCAAGCCAAGCATACTCGGGATGCACCTCGCGTGCGCAGCCATGCCGTCGGCGCAAACCCGGCCTTCGCTTTGCGCCGGCCGCACTGTGCGCACACCTTCGTCTCTTCGCACGTCTCGCACACGCGGTAAAACGTGCACTGCGGGCGCCGGTACTTGGCGACAAATGCATCTTCTTGCTTCCACATGTAGCAGGCCATGCATTGCCAAGGCTGCATCATCGCCCCGTGACGTTGGAGACATTCTTTACAGTGTCGAGTGCGCGAAATGCAGGCGAGAGTGCGATTTGTCCGGTGTGCGCGCAACCCTCTGCGGAGATCGTGCGTGTCGAGTGCGCGAAATGCAGGCGAGAGTGCGATTCGCCGGCTGCGCGCGCAACCCTCTGCGGAGATCGTGCGTGTCGAGTGCGCGAAATGCAGGCGAGAGTGCGATTTGCCGGGTGTGCGCGCAACCCTCTGCGGAGATCGGGCGTGTCGAGTGCGCGAAATGCAGGCGAGAGTGCAATTTGCCGGCTGTGCACGCAACCCTCTGCGGAGATCGCGCGTGTCGAGTGCGCGAAATGCAGGCGAGAGTGCGATTGGCCGGCTGCCCGCGCAACCCTCTGCGGAGATCGTGCGTGTCGAGTGCGCGAAATGCAGGCGAGAGTGCGATTCGCCGGGTGTCCGCGCAACCCTCTGCGGAGATCGTGCATGTCGAGTGCGCGAAATACAGGCGAGAGTGCGATTTGGCGGATGCCTGCGCAACCCTCTGCGGAGACCGTGCGCGTCGAGTGGCGAAATGCAGGCGAGAGGTGTGGAGTATCTGGGGAGCTGGGAGATGAGCACTGGTGACTTTGTAGTACAACTGTAGTACGCGGAGTAGCTGGGGAGCTGGAAGCTCAGAACTGGTGACTTTGTAGTACAACTTTGGTACGCGGAGGAATCTGTGGAGATGGAAGCTGAGAACTGGCGACTGCGTAGTACAACTTTAGTCCGCGGAGTATAGCTGTGGAGCTGGAAGATGAGAAGTGGCGACTTAGCAATACAACTTTAGTACGCAGAGTAGCTGGGGAGGGGGATGATGAGAACTGATGAGTGGGTAGTAGGTGAGAACTCGCGACTGTATAGTATAACTTTAGTACGCGGAGTAGCTGGGGAGCGGGAAGATGAGAACTGGCGCGTGGGTAGTACAACTTGAGGGCGTGGAGTATCTGGGGAGCTGGGAGATGAGCACTGGCGACTTTGTAGTACAACTGTAGTACGCGGAGTACCTGGGGAGCGGGAAGCTCAGAACTGGTGACTTTGTAGTACAACTTTAGTACGCGGAGGAATCTGTGGAGCTGGAAGCTGAGAACTGGCGACTGCGTAGTACAACTTTAGTACGCGGAATATAGCTGTGGAGCTGGAAGATGAGAAGTGGCGACTTAGCAATACAACTTTAGTACGCAGAGTAGCTGGGGAGCACTATGTCCAACTTCGGTTGTTGCCTTCCTCGCCATGCTGCCTTGTCTCACAAAAAAGGGGTCGGCGGCACCAGGGCGGAGCCCTTACAATTCGAATCCTTCCCTTCCACACCCGTACATATCGTACATGTTGCACAACTCACACAGGCCGACATGCCAGTTGAAGAACGTGTGCACGGTCGATCTGGTTAAGGATGAAGAGCAAATTTGTGGAATGCTATTGTATCTGGAAAGGAAAAACCTGTTCAAAAAAGAAGTCTAGGGTTTCTTGAAATTAAAAGCATGTGCAGCACGACCGCTGCTTGTTTCTCCACTTGAAAGGAAAAACGAATGAAGAACAAAAAAGAGCTGAGATGAGAGACAATAAAGAAGTGTTTTGTATGTCATTTGTGTTGTGGCTTTTTTGATATCGTATCTGTTGTTTTCGTGTTGTTTATGTTCTTGACATTAAAAGAAAAACATTTGAACCTGAAGTGCGGCACCCCTCTCCGTCCATTCCCAGCGCACCAACTTCTGGCCGCCACTGACACACCGACGGGGCCGCGTTCGTAGACGGCACGGAGCAGCGGCTCATAGCCTGGTTGTGAGACTGGCGGCGTTCGAAGCACATCTCGCAAGACAAGAGGCTTCAGAAGTCTTCTATGTTTTGAATCATGAAAATAGACCTGAAGAACATTTGAAGAAGCTTCAGAGAATCCCATGTCTTCTTGAGGCACTTTGTAAACTTGCCTCGTTGGGCCTTCTGGAACTCAAAGAAACCTGATCTGCTGCTGGGAAGCGATTCACCGGAAGCCGCTGCCAGCCTCTAAGACCACTCTCTAAGCCCAAGGAGTCTGAAGCAGCAGTACGTGCGCCCACTGACGACAAATCTTGGTGCCTTACTCAGTCTCCAAGCTGCTAGCGATGGCCAGCAACCTAATAGCGTCCTTGCTCCTAGAAGCGATGCCAGGAGCACCTAGTAGCGTCCTTGCTCCTAGTAGTAAGGCCAGGAGCACCTAGTAGCGTCCTTGCTCCTAGGGATTCAATGTTTGAAATGATGAACGGCTGTGACTTAGCTTTGCAGCTGGGTGACTCGTGCAAGAATCTCAGCGCTGCAAAATCCTCATAGATTTGCGCTGCAGCTTGATCGGCTTCGTCCACGGCTTCGTCTAGGTCTTCCTGCGGAAAAACAAGCTCCACATGTCATATGGGCTGCTCACCGAGGGCGCTACATCGATCCACAATGCTCATCTTCCCAAAGCATGAAGACGAAAACAAGTAGTGCAGCATCGTGCAACAAGGGAATAAAATGGAAGAAGGCTAGGGAATTAGGACGCTAGTAGGTGGAGGCCATCGCAAGTAGGTTGGAGGCCACCGCTACTAGTAACAAGAAGCTACTAGTAGCTAGAAGCTTCCTTGAGAATTGCTTCACCTGTAGTAACAAGAAGCTACTAGTCAAGCTTCTCAAAAACTTCTTGTAGCAAGAAGCTACTAGGGGCTCCTGGCATCGCTACTAGGAGCAAGAAGCTACTAGGAGCAACGGGCATCGCTAGGAACAAGGACGCTATAGTTTCCCTAGGCACTTGTTACTAGAAGCGCGGCACTTGTTACTACTAGAGTCCTTGTTACTACTAGTAAGGCACTTGTTCCTAGTAGCTTCTTGTTACTACTAGTAAGGCACTTGTTACTAGAAGCGTGGCAAATCATAAAGGCTCAGGCTTCAAACAAGCTCCCCCAACCCTCAGGCGGATCTTCGTTGAAGAAGCCTGAGGCCCTCTGCGTCCAAGCATAAGAAGCTACTAGGTAGTAGTAGCACTCTCTACCTAGCCTTTGGCCTATAATCCTCAATACCAACCCTAATTACAAAAAAAATGTGTAAGAAAAATACAAATATAAAATACAATAAAGAAATGGAAAAACGTCAAGAAGTCTTATAAGATGGACAAGGGTAATAGTGGCATCCAGTGGACAAGGCGAGCCTAGAGACCTTGGCAGCTTGGCTTACCATTTGCAGCTACCGGGACAGAGTCAAAGAGTTTCGAAGTGCTTTCCTTTTCTTTCCGTTTCTTTTTCTTTTCCTTTTCCTTTCTTTAGATCTTAAGACCTCCTTTTTCCTGTCTTGCCTTCTCCATTCTTTTCTCTTCTTTCTCTAGACCTTGAGACATTTTCTTTGTGTTCTTTACTTTCTTTAGACCTTTTCTCCTTGTCACCTTGTGAACCCGTTTTCGCCACCTGTCCTTCTGAAGGACAGAGTGCGCCGGTTGACTGTCGCCCGTGGCCCTCAGCTCAAAGGTTTGAACGCAATGAAGAATTTGTGCAAACTTCGGCTATTCACCAGCTCCACCCCTCACCAGAGGTTCATCACATCTTACAATAAGGAACGTAAGGGGAACCTAAGGGAAGGTAATACAGGTCGGAAGGGAGAAGTCAAGTCATGTTAAATTGAGGAGGGCTTGAGATTTTTGCAGCTGGAGCATCTCTAAGAGAGAGGGACCAGGAAGACGATGACAATGTCCGGTCCTCCTTCGATATGGGCTCTCAACTTCCTCCTTCAATCCCAAATGCATCGCCTTAGTTGACACACAGGTGTGGAAAAGCGGCCTCAAATCCTTGGACCAAAAAACGGTCCAGTGTGGATGCTCACTATGATCCCTTCCACGGTCCAGTCAATGGTTTCGGAAAACGGATGGAGGCCATCGCTATTAGGTTGGAGGCCAAGGCTGTGGAAAAGGCCATGGCCATCACTCTTGGCTCACTAGGGCTCGGAAAACTCAACCCCAAGTCCACTTGCCAAGTCGCATAGCTCATGGCCAACTCCACCGTGGCGCCAGAGCAACCTCCGGTGCCGCCACAAGACTTGGGATTGGGCACACAATCCACTAGCTCCTGCAAGTCTTCCCCAAGTGCGCCATGTAGCACTTCTGATGGCTCATGAAATGCATGAAGTGGTTGAAACAGTTTGATGGACTTGGAATGAACAAAAGATTTGGGTTGATGAAGCGAGGCTACATGTTGGGTGATCCGGAAAGTTCGAAACAACTGCCTACCACAAGTTAACTTCACACCACACAAGAAACTGTAGCCTTGCGAAGAACACTTGATTTTAACGTTTATATACAATATGATTTATGATCTAAAAATTTATGAAAAGAATCATATTGCCGGCGGCATTGCCCACACGGCCACCACTGTCAGCAGTCACCATGGCCCTGTCCTGAACCGAGAAGCTCCTCTGCGGCGCAGCGAAGATCTCGGCGTGCGCCGTGAGCACTGTGGCACTGGTCACTGCCCAGCAAGATCCACAAGCGCCCTCCGCGAGCAACGGAGAACTCTACTGAAAGGCATGGATGGGAAAAACAACCAGGGAGATTTCAACGGGCGTAAGAAAGCTGGCTTATTTGAAGATTTACCTTGTCGAGCGCCTGCACCAAAAGTCAAAATACTTGAACATCGACCAACGGTTCGAAGACCAACACACCCACTCTGCCCCCGCAGGTTCATCGCACATATCTTTTAGGCTAATAGGCATGGGACAGAAGAAAGCAGATCGATTTCATCGATCAGCTCAAGAACAACTGCTAGGGATGAATCGCCTGTGCTGGGGACAAGACCCCTGCAGAGTTAGGGAGGTGGGTTTCACTTCACGTAGCGCACAGATCTCTCGCGAGTGCAGCTCCTAGCATCACGAATTCACGAATTCCATGCTAGACCACGGTAATCAGGACACTCTGTCGCCTATGCTGTATAACTGGCATCGTGAAAGTTATTAGTGGTCAATTCAACCCCTCCTTCCAAGTCCTTCCGTGGTAAGGCGACCTGTTGTAGGATCCAGACTTCAAACAGATGGGCCCCTTGCAGGTCACAAAAATGCGCTGCAGACAAAAGATGTGCAAGCCCGACGCGTTCACAAGTAGACATGCTTCCAAGACCACAGTCCGGGAACCCACTTAATGACGCAACATGTCCTTGACACACAGGCAGTGGCCACTCGGCTGACCCATATCATGGTCGCCGTGGATTCAAAACCATCTATGGGTATGGGCAAAAACCACAGCATCCGACACTGTACACTCGGTGTACTTTGCTGCCTCTGAACATCTTGATGCTTTGCATAAAATATCCTTCCGCAAAGCCACATCTGCATTCTGACCGCCTTGTCTTCTTTTCATCCTTTGTACGTTGCCCCAATCCACTCTCATGGCTTGCACCACAAAGTTCCAGTGCAATGTACCTCGCCTCCCCTCTGTGGAGAGAATGGGCAGCGTGGCCACTCTTCCTGCGGATTTCTTGGCGTAGCCTACCAATTTCTCTCCTAACAGGGTAACATGCGCTTCGTCGGCACAAGCTTGTGCCAGTAGATCGCATGAGCAGCCCAGGCAGTCGGTGGACATAGAAATTGGTCAGCTATGTAGATATCTTCCTTTCCTGTGGGCTTTTGTTCTTTCCTGTAGACAGTTTCCAATTCGGACTGGGGGCATCGGCCTATCAAATGATGACACCTTGTTCCTTGTCCTGTCTACACACAACATATGCTCCACAATCTCTGTCACATGAGCTTGCCAAGGTCAAACGGTACCTGGCCATCCATGGAAACCCGCATGTCGCACGTATGCGACTGTGCACACACACGCGCTTGGAAATCACGTAGGTATTCCTCAATGGCCTCGGTAAAGAGGCTATCCTGCCGTGAACGAGGACCGTTAGGCTGATGCGTCAGCAGCGAGTGCCACACGCAGTCAGCACCAACACCACATGGCTTCAGATCAGATGTGGATCGGACTAGGATTGACTAGGCGTGCCTTTGATTCAGGCACTGAGTTCTGCTAGATCTCACCTAGCCACCTCGAGCCCTAGCCAGGTGGGCAGGGCAAAATAAACAAGAAGAGTTCACAAGTAGAGGCAACTGCCAGTACAGCTCAAACACTCAGAGCACAGCACAGCTTGAACTAGGGAATGGGAGCACGGATAGCAAGGAGACCGGGAAACCCTAACCAGGTCCAATAAGGCAACATCAACAAGTTGAAGTTCGCACAAACTGAGGACATCAGAGGGAAGGAAGGAAAGGAGAAGGATCAAAATTGGTCAAAAGGTCCAAAACGAAAACTGAATAGCTCTCGGTGTCCAAGCGTTTGCACAAGCTTGTTGAGTAAACTTCGATCGAATCTTCAAACAGAATAGACCGGCTAAAAAGGACTGCTCACCTGGCCTGATCGAAGACATGCTGCAAGGACTCTAAGCTTGTCCAGTTCAGAATTCCTCAGGCAAGCTATTGACCTGGCAGAGGCTGTGAAGAAGTTCCATGCTGTCAAGACAGATTGAACCGCACGGAAGAAAGATCCTCACATCAATCAACATCACCTCGATCTGAAGAAGAAAACAAAAGAGTTTCCCGATTCGCCACTGGAAGGCCTACTGACCATGAAGCGCACTTCCCATGATCCGGTTTCTCAATAGCTAGTAGGTTGGAGGCCTTCGCTATTAGGTTGGAGGCCATTGCTATTCACTTCAATAGCTTGTAGAAAGATGGAGGAACTACGGTAGCAGCCTGAAGCAACGCAGTCCCGGCATCACTCGCGGCTGCCATGCCGCGCCAGCCACGGAGTTGCGCCAGCTCCTCTTCAGTGTAGTCCTCGGGAAAGCATGGAAAAGCTGCCGTAGCTCCGCCGTCCTTCTACAAGCTATTGAAGCTAATAGCAATCAATGGCCTCCAACCTAATAGCGACGACCTCCAACCTACTAGCTATTGAAGCAAGCGTTTGGACCGTGGTGAGCTGACTTGTTTTTAAGGCCGCTCTGCTCCCCAACCTAGAAGCAATGGCCTCCAACCTTGAGCACCAAAATCATAGGCTTCTTAGGAGGTAGGGCAATCTGCATTACTGCAACCCTGTTGGCAATATAAAAGGTTATAAAAGACTATAAAAGAACATAAAAGAACATATAAGCAAATATGTTCTTTTAAAAGGTTATAAAAGAATATAGAAGATTATATTTTACGAATGGTGGTTTTGAGAGAAAACCCTGAAGAAACTGTTACATCATGGAATCATGCACTGCCGCCAGCTGGTGCCTTTTCTCTTTAAGAGAAATCGGTCCATGCCTTTTGCATGAAAGTCCTTGCCAGTCAGTGACTCCACCAACCAGCTAAGCTTCCACAGAGACGACGTGTCTCAAGAGAGCTACTTTTTGAAAAAGTCCAAGACTATACTACTCTATACTCAAAGTTGTGGAAACCTGTTGAAGGTCAGTCTTTCAGTTCCAAAATGAAGCAATGCATTGTGTTTTCACGAACTCTCACCTGTCAGACCTTGTGACACGCGAAAGGCATTCAGACTGCATTCGTGGTGCTTTTGGTCGCCAAGCATCTGCCAAAGGCCCAACTCCTGCCGTCCAGCGCCTGGTGGGATCCGCATTCAAGCGCCGCACCTCGAGGTCTGAAAGTCGCAACAAACAGAAGCGATGGCCGAATTGCTCCGTTCGTAGCATCCCTTGTTCCGTTCGTAGCGTCCTTGTTACTACTAGTAAGGCACTTGTTACTAGAAGCGATGCACTTGTTCCTAGTAGCGTCCCTTGTTCCTAGTAGTATGGCCAGGAGCCCCTAGTAGCGTCCTTGCCCCTAGTAGCCTCCAGCCTAGCAGCAAAAAAAGTGCAAACATCAAACTGTTCGGCGCGTCGAACAGCAAGTGTTTAGCATGTTCGGAGTCGAATACGCGGCGCCGCTTCGCCTCGTCAGCTCGGCTTTGGAACAACTTGAAGCGTTCCAGGTATGAAGCACTGCCGCGCACATAACCTGGAAAGCGCATTTGGTCAAGCCATCCATCTCTTAAGTATTCGCCAAGTGCCTTCTAAACAAAACATAGAATACCTTGATGAGACACCCATGGCAAAAGCTAATGCCACATGCCTGCCGGCACTCCCACACATGTTCTCAATGGAAACACCTAGAAGTCTCCAAGGTTCCGTCTTGGATTCCGGTAGCTGGGCGGCCAAAAATGTTCATGACATCTGGCACCACAGTGGTCTCAGTGCTGCTTGGTTGCCACGTCCATATTTCTCAACAAAGGCCTGTCAGCGATGGCCGGCGGAGGCAGTCTGTCATCAGGCACACTGCCACGATCGAGAGCCTCGTTGGTACCTCTTGCGGCACCCATGTTGGTTGAATTCTCGTCTTGTCCCGTGTTGCTTTGTCCATGGAGAGACGAGACAGAATCAGGTGACGAGTCAAAGGACGATGTGAAATAGGCAGATAGCTACGTTCGTAGCTTCTTGCTACCAGTAGCGATGGCCTCCAACCCAATAGGGATGGCCTCCACCGCGCGTAGCTTCTTGTTCCTAGTAGTATCGCTAGGAGCCCCTAGTAGCGCCCTTGCCCCTACTCGAAGTACATCGAGCTTCGCGTCGGACGTTCGCCTCAAAAGCCGCTTGGTCGGACTCTGACGCAAGAACCGCTACCGCACTCAGCAAGGCCACACAGGCCAGCATGCTGGGAAGCGGCCTCAAAATGGGAAGACGAGTGAAGAAACGGATTTTGAGAGAAGTGGAAAAACATATGGTGTTAGGTCGTGTGTCTTTCAGGTGATCAAAGGGATGCCGAGCAAGATGGCGGAGCTATAAGCAGCAAGTTTCCTGAAACTCTGTGCAGTATTTAAGTGACCCAATCCCCAATCCTGAGACACTCAGAACTCAGAAACATGTTTCAAAAGACTTCGTTCTAAGACACACTCATCTCGTCTCATCTCGTATCACGATTCTCCCTCTCTTTGCAACTCACCGACTGGAGGCGCTAAGTTGCCGACCACTGCTGATCTTTC